TTTTTTTTTTGTGCAGGTTTTTGTTAATGAAGTTAGGATACAATACTACGCAGTAACCAGTAGAGCATTATCACTCAGGATGCAATATCGCAACTCACATAACTTGTACATTCGTCTTATACACCGTTACCAAAATGAGACACTCTTTTTGTTCATTTTCAAATTTTTTTAGCAAAAGTCATCAATGGAGGCTTTTTCCTTACTTAAGGGAGCTTTTGCATTTAGTGAGCTTTTATGGACAGTCCCAAACGGCGCAGATGTATAACTGTGGAGCTTTGAGGCCCGGTGTACCACCACCATCAACCATGCCGTTGAAGCCGACAGGATACCCGCCAAGTTATGGCCAACCACAGACAAGTGGTTACCCTCCTGTTATGAATTATTCGGACGGCTACCAACCGGGTCATCCTAGCCTGTCCCAACAGCAGCATGCGTTGTATCAGCAGCAAGTAAAGTTTAAAAATGTCTAGTTAAAAGTTTGGAAGGGCTTGGGAAAAAATTTTTTCAGAAGAAAGCAAATTCCAACTTTATTACTTTTAAGAATAACGCCAAAGCCTTAAAGTCGCAATCTCGTTTTTGTTGCCTAAAAGGGCTCAGAGTTTTTTTGAATATGTGCGATGTAGGGGTTACGGGATGTATTTCCCAGATAAAGAGACTGCAATCTCATATTCCTTAAGTAAAACTGTCTACTCAATTTAAACGGTCTTCTTTCGAAAGTAATAACAAAATTTTTTCACTTGATCTTATTTTGTACTTTATTTCCGCTAAAAATTTTCTTTGACCACTACAGATGTGGGCATCGCAGCAGGCGCAGAGATTTCCAAGTCCACATGTCAGCATTCCCACCTCCCCTACAGCACCTCCATTGCCGTTGCCTGCTGGTATGGCACGTGGACCAGTTCCCTCATCAGAGATTAATGCAGCTCAGCAAGCTTTTGCGGCGAGAAGGCCTTACTTTCATATGCAGCAAGGTCCGGGAAGTCAACTTACGGGTTCGCCGTCGTCTGTGACTGCTTCAACTCCGAGACTCAGGGTTTGCTTCATTTGTTTTTGCTTTTTTTTGGCCTTTGAATGAATTTAATAAATCTAAGATTCTTTTCAGTACAACGCGCCTTCGTCAAGTCCTTCCCCAACTCGTCCTTTACCGCAGTCATTGTACGGCATTCAGTCAGCTGTATCACCGGTTTGTTTTTTCTTTACTATACATTCTTTGAATTTGAATATACAGCTTCTTTTTTAGAGGTCTTTAGAACTTTGTATTTCACAATTTATTTCAGCAAGTCCAGCCATCACGCCCTTTAACGTTTGGGTCAGGCCTTGGTTGTTCTCATTCTGCTCCATCTACTTCATCTGGTATTGGAGGAATACATGCCTCAGTCTGCAATCTGCAGGCAAATTCAACTGTCTCTATGCCTGGCCACGGTTCAATCCCCAGTGCTGGATATCACTTACCAACCATGACTCATTTTCCATCCTCCCAACCTTTACAGTTCCCGCCTGGCAGTGTTGAAGCTACTGTTGTCAACCAGCGTAGAAGGCGGAAGCTATACGCTAAAGACCTCTCGAGAGTGAGATTTTATTCCACGTAATGCTTTTTTGCTTATCTAGTTTGTTACTCATTTATCAATTATTTATGACCTTCAGACTGAACCTCGCCGCTTGACAATGGCATTGCGCAGTAGCTTGGAAGCTGAAATAACATGGGCTCTGAATGCATTGAATGTTCTTCTTTACGACGATACGGCACCCCCTGTTCGTTTGAGAGAGTATCCTGCTTTGCTGAATGTGCTAGTCGAACATTTTAAGGCGCAGCTTGCTTTATTGTTCCCTTCGGTGTTTAAGGTTATTTTTTTCTCTGCTTCATTGCTTCACACGGCACATTT